TCGACGCATTTTTTGAAATTCTGTCTGTTGGTCAAGTCAAACTTGGGCGCTGTTTACCAATAGCACAAAATACTCTTTTCGGTTGGGTCGTGGCTGGAAGGCTCTCTTCAACAAACAGCAATTCATACAGCAATATACTCAACGACTCTATCAAGGCATTCTGGCAATTGGAAAACATTAATTATCCGCTGCTCAATTTAACGAAAGATGAGAGGCAGAGTGAAATCCATTTCACAGAAAACTTTACACGCTTGCCGTGTGGTCGTTATCAAGTTCGACTGCCTTTCAAGATGAGTCCAAGCGCACTAGGACAGTCGTATGATTTAGCGCTTAGAAGATTTCGCTCCCTTGAGCTAAGGTTTCGAAAAGATACGACACTTCACTTACAATATAAGGAGTTCATGAATGAATTTATATTTATATCTCATATGGAGCCGATATCAGATGTAGACCTTAGCGTTCCCCATTATTTCATTCCACACCATCATGTTTTAAAGCCATCAAGCTCAACGACGAAATTACGCGTGGTATTCGACGCTTCGTCTAAAACCAGTTCAGGTGTATCTCTCAATGAATTACTATTGGTCGGCCCTGCAATACAGACCGACCTACTCTCTACAGTCTTGCGATTTCGTTACTATACGTATGTTTTTACAGCGGATATCTCGAAGATGTACCGCCAGGTATCATTACATCCTAATGACAGACGTTTTCACTATATTCTATGGCGCTCCGACAAAAGAGATCCAATGGCCATTTATCAACTGTGCACTGTTACGTACGGTACTACCTCTGCCTCCTTTCTACCAACACGTGCGCTAAGGCAATTGTGCATTGATGAGCAACATACATATCCACGCGCAGCCGATGTCGCAATTCACGCGTTTTACGTTGACGACATACTAACGGGCGCTAACACATTAAGTGAAGCAATCGATTTGCAATTCCAACTCAAGACTATGCTTGCAAAGGGCGGCTTCGAGTTAAGAAAGTGGTGCGCGAATCACACCGAAATACTTAATGGCACTCCTGATGAAGGTAAAGAGAAGTNAGCAAAGGGTGGCTTCGAGTTAAGAATGTGGTGCGCGAATCACACCGAAATACTTAATGGCACTCCTGATGAAGATAAAGAGAAGTTTTTCCAAATAAAGGGTGATAATGCAATTAAAACACTGGGAGTCATATGGAACCCCTTTATAGACAAGTTCTTATATGAAAAGCCAGACTCAATTGCTAAACCAGCGACTATAAAAAGAAGTGTTCTCTCCCAAATAGCGCAGCTATTCGATCCACTAGGTCTAATAAGCCCTGTCGTCGTGCTTGCAAAAATCTTTATGCAACAGCTCTGGCGCTTGAATATTAGTTGGGACGAATCGCTCC